GCCACTTCCCTCTCTAAACTTTACCCCTGCATGGCCCACAAAAGGGTTGGTCAAGTTGAAATGACAACATCCTTCTCTAAATTTTACCCCTGCATGGCCCACAAAAGGGTGAGTCAACTTGGGAGGGCAACATCCTTCTCTAAATTTTACCCCTGGGTGGCCCACAAAAGGGTGAGTCAACTTGGCATGGCCACTTCCCTCTCTAGACTTTACCCCTGCATGGTATAGAAAAGGGTGAGTCAAGTTGGAGTGACCACTTCCTTCCTTGGAAGTTGGAGTCAAGTTGGAGTCAGCAAAGAAAGAAGTCAGTAAGTGGCCAGGTGAATGAATGAATGAATGAATGAATGAATGAATGAATGAATGAATGAATGAGTGAATGCATGAATGAACGAACGAACGAACGAACGAATGAATGAATGAGTAAGTCAGTGAGTCAGTGAGTGAGTGAATGAATGAGTGACTGAGTGAGTGACTGAGTGAGTGAGTGAGGGAGGGAGGGAGAGGGAGGGAGGGAGGGAGGAAAGTGGCAGTAGAGTATACTGGACCTGATCGAATTCACCAAGTAAGACCCTCTCACGATGTAAGTGCGCGAGCAACGACGAGCACGCTTTTTCCCGAAAGCATTGCGAAGGGTTCTTCCGGAAAATCCCTTGAACACTGACACCTCGACACTTACACTTACACACTGGCACTTCCACACTTGCACTTGAACGCTGACATTTCTACACTTACACTTGAACACTTACGCTTCCACGCTGACACTTGAACACTTACACGTCTGTACGTATCCCAGTGTAAGGGTAAAAAGCATCCAAGGGCAACCAAGGGCAAGTATGCAAGTGCAATGCAACAAGTATGCAAGTATGACTATGGAAAACTTGCACGGGAGATGTCCTAATTAAAAACATTTCCCCACTTTATAAATTCTCTTTTAAAGGCGGAGGGGGAAGAACAGCGTCAACCGAAAATGTAACCCTCTGCGGAGATCGTGCGCGTCGAGTGCGCGAAATGCAGGCGAGAGTGCGATTTGTCCCATGTGCGCGCAACCCTTTGCGGAGATCGTGCGTGTCGAGTGCGCAAAATGCAGGCGAGAGTGCGATTTGTCCGGTGCCCGTAAGATGAGAACTGGCGACTTTGTAGTACAACTTTAGTACGCGGAGTATCTGGGGAGCTGGAAGATGAGAACTGGCGACTTTGTAGTACAACTTTAGTACGTGGAGTATATAAGGAGCTGGAAGATGAGAACTGGCGACTTTGTAGTACAACTTTAGTACGTGGAGTAGCTGGGGAGCTGGAAAATGAGAACTGGCGACATGGTAGTACAACTTTAGTGCGGGGAGTATCTGGGGAGCTGGAAGATGAGAACTGGCGACTTTGTAGTGGAATTGCGCGCAGTACCTGGGGAGCTGGAAGATGAGAACTGGTGACTTGGTAGTACAACTTTAGTACGCGGAGTATCTGCAAAAAAAAGCTGGAAGATGAGAACTGGCGACTTTGTAGTACAACTTTAGTAGGCGGAGTATCTGGGGAGCTGGAAGATGAGAACTGGTGACTTGGTAGTACAACTTGAAGTACGCGGAGTATCTGGGGAGTTGGAAGATGAGAACTGGCGACTTTGTAGTACAACTTGAAGTACGCGGAGTATCTGGGGAGCTGGAAGATGAGAACTGGCGACTTGGTAGTACCACTCTAGTACGCGGAGTATCTGGGGAGCTGGAAGATGAGAACTGGCGACTTGGTAGTACAACTTGAGTACGCGGAGTATCTGGCGAGCTTGAAGATGAGAACTGGCGACTTGGCAGTACCACTCTAGTACGCGGAGTATCTGGGGAGCTGGAAGATGAGAACTGGCGAATTGGTAGTACAACTCCAGTACGCGGAGGTGACTTGCGAGAGGTCAAGAACTTGCAGAAAAAATGTTCCTGCGCGTCAGAAAGACATACAGACAGAGACGCATACACACACAGACATAGATACACACACACACAGAGACCCAGACACTGCCTCAACACACTCGACTTAACACTTTACACTGAACACTTAACACTTAACTCACACTCTAACTTCACACGTGATGAAAAATGCTTTCGGGCCACTCGTCGTCTAGTTTTTATGCCACGCAGTGCAATATTGGGCAGAAAAAAATCTGGAGCCAAATGATTTATGCGGATGCTGACTGAAGATTTCTAAGTACCAATGGCTCGAGGAAACAGGTGCTACACGCGTATAGCGTAGACACGCCTAGGAAAACCTAGGACCCTACAAAACACAGAGGGAAGGGGGAGGAGGGATTGGGTGACGACTGTGTGACAACCTCAGTGAAGGCATGAGTGACTAAGTCAGCAAAGAAACAAGTAAGTAAGTGGCCAGGTTAATGAATGAATGAGTGAATGAAGTCAGTGCGTGAGTGAGTGAATGAGTGAGTGAGTGAGAGAGTGAGTGAGAGAGTGAGTGAGAGTGAGTGAGTGAGAGTGAGTGAGTGAGAGTGAGGTTGAGGCAGCACATCCGCGTGTACAGACGAGGCATCTCACTCGCGTGTACAGACGAGTCACCTTTCGCGTGTACAGACGAGGCGCCGCCCCCATGCATGGTATAATATGCTTATATATACATACATACATACATTGACCCCGACGTCAACCACCCCAATGTGTGTGAGTATGCCAGTCCCATGGGTCGTGTCTGGGTCTTCCAATCAAGTGGTGCAATGGCGGGATCTTCCACTCAGATGGGATCCATCATGATCCATCCACTCCGTCAAGGCTGATCTGCTCAGTTTACTGATTCTCCCTGCAACGGATTGTTTTTTTGGACACCCCAAACGGCTACCCCAACGAGGTACTTTCTCAGGGGTTGGGGTCTCTGATTTTAGACGTTCTCCCATCCACATTGGCCAGCAGCTGTAGTGATGCACCCCCAGCACCAAATGCCCTGACCACTCTGGCAGCAATACGCCCTCGGCCGCATAAGCCTCGGTTCTGTTCGTTCTGGGCATGACGTCTTGGGATTTGGCTAGAGGTGCGACGCTACGGGCCGATTGCTAAAGAGGTGTGTGGCGTAACCACTGATTTGTTTCGAGCTTTTCAGCACGAAACCTCCGAGCTTTTCTTGGAAAGCACAGGAGAACTCTTTGACAGCGAGTTGGAGAGACCCTTTGACTCCTGCGACTTCCCTAAACGCGAAAGCACCAAGCGCTCTTTAGCTCGCTAGCGTTCGGCTTCGTCCCGAGACCGGGTGCATCGCATCTAGTCAGACTAGGAGATGTGCCGGTCCAACACGACGCTCTATATGCTCTACCTGCGCGACGCGTCGTTAGGCGCGCACCGCGTTTCGCCTCGGGGAACCCGCGCCTCCAATGATCGCATCGGCCAAATGATCCGTTCCACCTCGGTGGGCACTGCTCCGACCATGTGGAGATCATCAGCCCGTCCTCCGGGTCCGGTCCAAAGCACTGAGGCAAAGTGCCACCTGGTTGATTCAATCAGTCCTCCAAGCCGGCAGGTCAGCTTCTTCTAAGCTGTGCTTCTGAAGAGTTGACGTTGGAGGTCTAAAGAACACCCCTTAGGCAACGGTCTTCCTAGCACGACGAATGTGTGAACAGCTGCCTGTCGGCTGTCGGCTCCGAGAGGCTCGTCGCGAAAGGCTTGGTTCGCGACGAGCTGACGGGACGACGATCGGCGCTGGGTGGGCGGTCCAGATCCAAATTGGATCACAAAGGGATCACATGAAAAATAGACTGTCCGGTGTTCACCAACAATCAAAAGGAACTACCAAGGGACAAGTTCATTGAATTTTGAGGCTAACTGAGAGGAGAGCACATAAGCCATATCCGAGACACTTCATGTGTAGAGTCTAGTTGCCTACATTTGCATCTGGGATGGTTTCTGTGGTCCCTGAAGGCTGAAGGCATATATTCATGTACATTCCATGCATGGAGGTCTGGTTATGTACCTAATTGTCTACTATCCTCATGCATCATCCCAAATTGCAAGGCACATCGCCCCTCTGGTTTTTTGTCAATCACATGCCTGGATGTACTGATCACAGACCCTCTAACATTGCCAAGATGCCCACTCTGACTCTCTCTGTCTACATATATTATATTATATATAATATTTTTAATATTGATATGATATGTATAAGTACATTATAAATTATGTTGTACTATAATATTATTATACATGTATTTTTATACTATATATTCTATTTTATTATACTATATTATATTTTATTTATATTTAGTTATAATGTTATAGATAGATCCCCTGACACTATCACTATAATTTCCCTTAGAGACCACTGATCTGAGCATGTGCGGCATTTTGCCTTCTGTCTCGGCTACCAAGCGAGGCCAAAAGGGTCCAACACAATGGATGGCCTGCACCACCCGTTCAACGTCAGTATCACCCACCGGTCACACACCTGTGTGACCTGCCCAGGTCTCACCTTGACACGATTCAAATCAGGTTCATGAGGATCGAATCCGATCTGAAGGTAGTTCGGAAGCTCGGAAGGGGGGCCAAGCTGCGAGTTGTTGATCCAATCCTCTTATAGTGCTATCCATGGATTCCCTGTCCCAGCAGTTCCATGTGGGATATTCAAGCCATCCAATAAATGGATACACCTAGCCTCTCACTACTTTCCCTATAGCTAGGGATCCAAGTACCTTCTCTTGAAGGTAATTGGACCCTCCAAACCAAATGACATATTCCGTGGATCCCTAGGGTTTGGAACTCCAAAAGAACTCTGCCCAGGAACCACCAAGAGTCTCATTTCCTCCTGCAGCTCCTCTCGCACCCGCACGCCGCACCGCTGCGCGGCCGCGGCCCAACGCTTCGCCGTGGCCCAGCGGAAGGGCCAAGGACAGAAGCGCACCTGGACAGGGCGCTGCGCTGTCCGCGGTGTCCGCGGTGTCCGCGGATGGATGGATGGATCTGAAGTGTAGCAAGAAGCTAGTAGCTAGGCCCTCCGTTTTCGGGGTGTCCTGGCTGGACTGCCCCCCACACTACCGGCCTAGGCTTCCAGACAGGGCACCCCGACAGGAGGGTCCTGGTAGTAATGGCCTCCAACCTACTAGCGATGGCCTTTAACCTAGTCGCTTCTAGCAACTAGTAGTCATGTCGTTGTTTCTAGTAGCTTCTTGTTCCTAGTTGGCGAAAAAAACGGGGGTCCCAGTTGGAGAGTTCAGGATGTTGCAGGACCAAGTTTTGGAGAGCGGAGGCCGGTGGGGTGGATCTATCATCGCTTGAAGTTTTGGTAGACTGAAACAAAGCTGGACACAAGAACCCAACGAAGTCTGTTGGAGAGAATCTGTTACTGCTGTTGGTTCAGGACAACCTTTAATGTATTATTACAAGTTGTGATTATTATGTAAGTAAGTACAGGTACAAAAGTCTGCAGTAGCCAGGCCCTGGCGTGGCGAAGTACGCGGTTTTCCGGCATGGGGGAGGAACCCCGCCCTGGCGACTGGCCCTGGCCTCGTTGCGCAGGTCGAAGCCGACCACGTACGGGCAGTGGCGATAGCGCCGTGCGAGCATGGCCCAATCTTCGATCCACTGCTCCTCGGGGGCGAAGCAGACCCGCTGATTCAGGCAACCCCACATAAGACATACCCTCTGAGGTACCGTGGCTTAGAGACTCTCTGGCTTGGAGGCTCCAAGGACCTGAGAAGGTGGATCTGTTTTTGGGAATGTATAGGGAGGCTATCCCTATGTTCGGTACCCTGACAAGGTCACGGGTCCTTTTCAGTCTATGTTCGTGCTGTGAGGCGACGCAAGCTTCGCCCGCGACGCAAGCTTCGTCCGAGGACGTCTGGAGCCGTTCGCCGTCCCTCACCGTCGACAAAAAGACCCAGCAGTTCCGTGCCGGAACTGCTCAGAACCACCTCAAGGCTTTCGGAGTCTAAGAGTTTGGAACTCCTAAATCACTGCTAAGGAGTGCATCCAGTGCCCTGGAGTCGGTGGAGTCTGGTAAGAATCATCATGATGATGATTCCATAATGGAACTCCGAAACAGCAGGTGAAATGGTACCATCCGTTCTTGGCCCAAACACAACTCCGTTGGCTTCCGTGTCGGTCGTCTGGCCGTCCGTGTCGCGCGTCGTCCGGTCGACCTGCCTCGGTGTAGAGGTCACTGGAGGGGTCAAACCAAAGGCCATTGCGGTCAGGGCCGCCGCACCATTCGCCGTGGCCTCAGGAGATGAGGTGACTGGATGTGACTGGCAGTCTGCTTTGATGCCTGGAATCTCCATTTGGAGACCAGTTATCTTCAAACGTGCTTAGGTGAAAAGAGTGAGTTCTTTTTGTCGATTGCTGCTCGTAATGGTCTACACCCTAGGAATTGCGTTGTGCAACACCATCAGGTGCCACATGGTGCTTCCTCTTTAAAGGGCTTCTGGAAGGGTTATTGATATGTTTTTTAGATTTTTTGGGGCAAGGACATCTATTTTTATCAAGTGGCTCGTGTGGTTGTTCAGCACCACCGCGATCTTCCATCGCCCCAGCGCATGGATCACCGCATCAAACGCCTCGAGCGGTTTCACCTCGTCCAGCGAGGGGTTCTTCTGCCGGTCGATGGCATCTGCAGAGACCGCGCCGACGACGTCGGACGCACGTGGGGCAGGACTGAAGCAATCCTTCAAAAAGAATGGACACTTAATGGGCAGGACCAAGGGCAGGACACCATATTGGTTACACCTTCCCTGCCTTTCTTACGACGACAACAAGATGGTCAATATTGGTCATATTGGGTACATTTATATGATATGGGTGTATATTAAAATAGGGAGACCTCCCAAGGACTCCCTGGAAGAAGAGAAATAGAGACAAACCATCCATTGGTTGGGTCTCCCTATTCAAATACACACCCATATGACGATGACAATTGTGGTCAACTTTGTGGCAACATGTTTCACTCTACAGCTCCAACAACCGATCCAAAGGTAGGGACGGTATGCACAGTTGAGACGTGTTCTCCTCAGGGTCCACGCACACCAGGTACCCAAAAACTCCAAGTATGATTCACATGCCTGTCCTGCCTTTTTTCCCCTGAAACCACCCCCAATGTAGGTCCATGGAGTGGTTGGGGTCGAAATCGAGGCAATTCGGATTCCGTAACACGTCAACCACTCCAAACACACGTCAAAAACGCTCTAGAGCTCGGGTGAGCACATTGTGCTACTCTAACAGGGTGGGAAACACACACACTCTCCTCACACACGTCACTTTCGTTGCTGTCTTTCGCTCCACCCGGCCTGCGCCGCACACGGAGCTCCGCAGCATCTCGTTGGAGAAGGGCAGCCGAACCTGGAGGGTGAGTGAGCCGAACCAGTGCCGCTGGAGCGGCACCGCTGGATGAAACAACAGCTGAAAATGTGGTTCTCTCCCATGTTCTGCCATGAGCTCCTTTGGAACATAGATATGACATGAGCTCCAACTACCATCATCTTACTTGGAAGGTCTTGGCGTTGCGTCCGCTGTGACCCACCTGAGGATTTGCCCCTTGGAGCCCGGTGATGTCCTTTTGGGAAGAATAAAGGGGTCGGTTGGGTACCATTTGCCTATTGGTTCTACACTTGGGGGCGTCCCCTCTATTGATCAACCAACCAATAGTTAAAGGCCACCTGTGCTTGGAGCACTCAAACTTCATGACATTTCGCGGCTCATAGCTCCGAATCGGGGAGATGTGTGGTGCATCGACAAGGCAGGGAAGCACATGAAATCCTTGCACAAGTTGAGAACTCCACAGGAACTATTCAGATTTTTTATTGCTCATCGCCGCAGTATATGATTTAAATCACACAACATGAGGAAAAGGCAGGAACCCATGGAACACCAACTGAAGGTTTGGTGTAGAACCACTAACCACGTGATAGAAAACAACTATATATACAATAACTGACTGCAGCACCATATACACCATATACACCTGATTTGTTCCAAGAATCCACATGCGGTTCAATGATGTTTATGACATTAATGTTCATAAGACCGTTGGCTTCTCTAGCGAGGGGTTGGAGAACTCCCTGTAGCTCCTTGTTTGCGGAAGAACTGGATACCCCCGGCTCGAAAAACTCGCTCCCTCCTGAGCACTAGCTTCTTCTTCTTCTTCTTCTTGTTCTTCCTCTAAAGGGATCCAATGCCGCCCGGTTCTCCACCTCCCCATCCACCGCCAAGACACGGTGTTGAAACCCAGCGCAGAGATGGAGGAACCTCTGACAGCGCTGGAAAAGACTGAGGATGTGAGGGCAACGAGGTTGAAGTGCCAGGTTGGTGGCCGTTTTCGATGCAATGTCATCAGGCAGCCAGGCACTCCCCACATATGCAACTTCTGGCTGAAACTGCAAGTAAGAAGCATTCCCAAGGTTCTTCTATTCTAGCAGGGCCCCGGTTTGCAGGGGGTCGATTAACCCTTTTGGGGGCTCTGTTAGATGTATAAATTTTCCCCGATGTGAGGCCGCCAGCAACGGGTTTTGGTCTATGTCCCTTCTTTGAGGGGGGTCTTTGGGAGGTGCATCTCTGCCGATCAGTTGCGGTGGAAAAGGGGGGGTCAATGTGAGGTAAATCTTCCAGTTCTATGGAGTGTCTGGGATCTGATATCCGAATGGAAGGATGCTGAGGGCCAAATGAAATTCCACATGCTGAGGTCAACATGCTGTGTTTAGAAACAGCACCACACCAAATCATTGAAGAGTGCTTTACCATGACAAACCATCACACCCCTGCAACTCGAGCCATCTCAATCATGGGCAGGCGGTGAACCCATTCCCGTTGACCCGCATGCCAAGCTGCAAATGGTGTCCAAATTTTGGATGTCTAAGCCTCCCACGACCTTAAGTTTAGTGCCGCAACCCCTATTTGGGTTTGGTGCAGCTCAAAGAAAGGAGGGGCGATGTGGTGTGGGGCTCAAGATGGTGGCGGAATGCTATGTATGAAGCGCCAGTTGCGTTATTTTAGGTGGGGTTCAGGATGGCGGAACAACACATAGGATCGTGAATTGTGGTTCTTATAGGCAGTTTGGCACAAAACATCGTACAAAATGACACAACGCCTTTTGGCAAACATGATGCACTTTGCTGGATATGTTCAGCTCGTTCTTCCTCCGGCGCCCGGACACATGATCAAGTCCCTGATCCTCCAATATGGTGGAGTCAACCCTGTTCGGAGAGGTTTTCATGTGGTTGTGGTTTTCAACCCACTTGAAACATATTAGTCAGGCCCAGTCATGGTCGCCATGTGTTCATTGAGAACAGCTGGCTCAGCCACCGCAAACGATGTTTTCGGTTGTTCTGCCACGAATGGCATGGACACAAGCTTGATTCTATGTCAAGAAAAGGCGCTCAAAATTGGTCTCTTGGTCTAAGTGTTATTCGGAAACTAAAAGGTGGTCTTCGGAAACGTTACGGCTTTCTTCGGAAACTAATCTTCGGAAACTGTATGGCTTTCTTCAGAAACTTTACGGTTTTCTTCGGAAACTTTTCTGTGAAAACTAATCTTCGGCAACTCATAAGTGATCTTCGGCAACTCTATGGTTTTCTTCAGGAACTAACGTTCGGAAAATACGAAGAGTCGAAGAGCAACATCAAACCTGCACGAACAACTTTCTGCAGATCGCAAAATAGGCATGTGTATATATATATATATACCGTAGCCGTCACAAGGTACGTCAATATCCCACCCCCACCTACCCACCCAGTGCTCCTTCATGCAGGTTGCAATATTGTAAAAAAACTGAATTATACTTTCTAAAGCATGCAAATAATGTGAAGATCGCGAAATAGTTTCTGAAAATCGTGAAAATGTTTCTGAAAATGGTGAAATAGTTTCTGAAGATCGCAAAATAGTTTCTGAAGATGGCACAATAGTTTCTGAAGAGTAGTTGCGGAAGAGTACCAAATAGTTGCGGAAGAAAAGCTTCTGAAGAATGGAGAGTTGCGGAATAGGACTTTGTTCTGGTCTCTTGGTCTACCTACCTGACCTGATGAGGAATTGACATATTACGACTACTTGGATCGGGGCTCCACTCACTGAGTTTTTTTTAAACAAAGAAAGAACATTATTGGAACTGCTGGAAGAATTCCGCCAATCAGCGATGGATTCCAACCACTGAAGAGCTTTCACTTAAACGAACCCGGGCCCATTCGCCTTCTAAGACCATCTTTACAGAAAGGCTGAGCTGGTTTGCAGTGTAAAAAAATGTAAAAACAACAACTCAGCAAAACCATGGTTTTGTTCGCGAACCACGCACCCTGCGATGTCTTCTGAATGTATTACGTCCTCCGTCCTCCTCTTGTTACCCCTCCGCTTCAAACCCAGTCACTTGTTACCCTCCCAAGTCACGTGCTTGCAATCGCTGGCGCCATACCAGTTCACCCCTCGCAAGCGGAAGCGTTCCCCCGCCTGGGTCACCTCGGCTTTCTCGCGCAGCGAGCGGGACACCGAGACGGTAGAGTGGCGTGGTAACAAGGCCGGGAGATGTCCGTAGGGATTCCAATGAGACTGCCATAGGTCCTACGACCTACGGGGACTGCCATATTTGCGTATATACATTGGGGTTGTTTGGGGGGGCAATGTTATGGCAATATACATGGAGTGTTTGGGTATAACTTCCTGAACGAGGTACTCAGTGTCTGCGGGTACGGGCACTCCGTTCATTTCAAGCGAGCAAGCAAACAAGGAGGCTCGGTTGAGAGCGTTTGGCCTTGAAGCAACTAGGGTTCTGTCTCTTGTAAACGACTTCCAAGTAGAACGACATTGCAAATGCAAACGTTAATCACATTATTTACACGGTTCTTTTTCCAGTTATCACTGACTTTGCTGGCCAACTGTGTTAAAGGACTCAAAAAAGATTCAGTTCAAAACATACCGCGACCCACATCATCAAACGGCGAATCACATCTTACAAATGGTCAAGACCTCCTACTGCGACCCACATCATCGATCTCCTCCTCTTCGATCTCTCCAAGTGGCGATGTGCCGTCCTTTGGTCTTCAAAGGAAACTGCTTCAGCCAGTCTGCATCAATCTGAGCATCTGGCAGCACAGGCTCAACATCTGGCCATGTGCCCAGCATCGTGCTCGCATGGAACAGTCCAACGCTGTTGCTGCTGTCCTTTGTTCCAATGTTCATAGCGTTTCTTGGACAACATGCTTTGGCAAAGAAAAAAACGGACTCACTGTTCCCTTTGGGTCATCCTTTGAACCGGACATCCCTAAGGGCGCGAGCTTGACACGGTACATCCGGTTCTTTTTGCTGCCACTGAAGGGTTATGGCACTCTCATAACATATGTTCGCCACTGATCTTGCGAGTGAAAGCCTGAATTCACAACTCACCATTGGTTTGCTGGCGACCAGTCAGTTGCATGAGGTACAGGTACCCTCACAATGCCATGTTTGTGCTTGATTTGGCGACCCAAGCCATTACATGACTGCCAATTTCACTTGGCGGTTCAGCTTTCTGTGGAAGGCGCACAGGCGAAGAGCTCTTGCCTTCCGACTTGCATGTCTAGTTGCCTCGAAATGCCTCGAACCCGATCTCAAGGTCTCTGGTTCTATCTGTCAGAGCCAATTGGTTGAACCAAAACCACACCATCTATCACCGAATTTCATCAGACTCAGCCTGCAGACCAACCTGTCCAATCGGTCAACCTCGGCCAACTGCGGTGTTGGAGCAGATGGTGCAAACTTGGTGCAAGCTACCTGACCAACAAAAAGGAAACAAAGAGATGTAAATCAAAGGGACACGTTTCCCACGGCCTGGCCCAAGGCCCAAGGCTGCCATCCCGAAGCGACCCGAATGCTCGCTGAGTGAGTTGGAAGAGGATAGAAGTGGAGTATATAGTATAATGATAGACTGTTGATGAATAAAACCATCTGTCTCCAGAAAGATGTTGCTTTTGATATAAGAAATCCTGTATTTCATCAACAGTCCACATTCTTGTATCATCTTGTATCAACAGTCTACAAACAACTTACGTTATTGAGGGAGACTAGTCTCTCATGACAGGAACCTCGCCAAGATGGACGGCATCTCTGAAAACTCTTCACCAGCAGAGGTTTTTCTCAGAACCCGACATAACCCGACTGTTCTTCGACTATCCCAGGCCCATTCGGTACCTCAGTTGGACTACCTAGTTCAGGTCACTCTCCACCAACTCCATGGACCAACTCCATGCTGTCATGGAGACGAGGTTTCCGATGGCCCCACCTTTGGCCACCAAGGCCTGGCCGGCGAATCGTCTGTGAACTCGCGAACCTTGTTTCGGCGATCTAAGGGGATGCAAAATGCCAAATGAACTGTGAAAGCCCCAAAATGAGGGCATTGGATTTTCCGTGATTTTCCTGTATACGTAATACTGTGATACACATATAGGTTTGGTACGTATCCTCATGTCCCTCTCCTTTGAAAGTAAGACAAGACCTAAGACAATGTACGGGTCATTAATTCAGATCCTCCCTCATCTGGGGGCGTCTTTTTCAGCAAACCCTGAACAAAAGCTACAAATCTATATATGGTCTGACTCTCCAGAAATGAGTGGAGTAAGAAATATGTTCGTTTCGCACGCCTAAGCACGCGTCAACATCGACCATGTTCTGCATTAAGGTTGCATTCGTCTCTCATCAATGACTATCTCCTTGTGGCGCTTGTGGATGACCATCCACCCAACTGCGCATGTTGCGTTCGTCACGAAGGCTCCACCGTTTGCGGGACACCCTGTCGGCCCGGTCCACCAGGTCCGGTCGCACCGGTGCAACCCATGCGTGTCCACTTGGGCGTCAGACCGACCGACACCACATGACCAGCGCGAAAGATCATGCGAGAAAACCCAACATTCGTCTCATCCCCAAATAGTCGTGTCTTCTTTGAGATTGACCATGATTGACCCACAATGCGGCCTGGAACACGCATCTACCTTCCTCGGACCCTCCCCCCAGGCACACAAGCAGGGTAAGATCTTCAGAGAGACTTGCACTCCCTGAAAGAATCATTGAAGTTCACCACTTGTTTATTTGGCATTTGGAACATGGTCAGCCGGCCATTTTAATCAATTTCCTCCTCCATGCTAGTTGTCTTCCCGTGGAGAGGGCTTGTACACCCGAACGAAGGAGCCTACCACCTTCTAAGCGGGCCGAATCCCAGGATTGCTAAGGGCGCGTTTTTCGAGTGGACCTGGACGGATCCACAGCAGCCGCAGGCAGGTCCGGTCATGTTCGGTCGCGACCGGTTCAAACAGATATATAGTAAACGATTCTACTTCTACGTTTGGACCCCGGTGGCGCCGCTGGCGAATCGCCGCCTCTTGGCGGAGCTTCTGCCATTGGCTCCGCAGCAGCGCGGAATGCACGAAGCTGGGCGGAGAGCAGAGGGGAGAGGGGGCAGTACATTATATATATATATTAATATTAATTTAATATATATATATATATTATATTGCTTATATTACAATTACATATATATAACATACCATACATGGAGTGTTTGGGAATGCCTTCGATGTGCACTTGCCTATGCCTTCATTGCTCCAGCCCTCAAGTTGCACATGGGTGGTCATCCGAAATGACGCCACCAGCAACCCGGTGTAGCAAAGATTGAACGGGCATCTTTTAAGGTCTATAGTCTATAGTCTCTAGCATGGTTGCCTGGGGCTGGTCGTCCACTTGGAAGACCAAGTGTCAGGAGTACTCAAGGCAAGGAGGACAAGGAGGATCGCTCTGCTTGAAACAAGTTTATGACTTAAGGCAGAAATCAGCGTTTTTGGCACCGCGAAAGTGACAACTAATGAAGGTCAAAAACCATGCAATATGTCACATAGATGCAATTATATGCATGTGGTACAAGTTATATTGACAGTGTCATCCCTGGGCGAGTATGGGTGACGATCTCAATCATCTCTATCTTGACTTGTGTTCACTTGGGTAGCTTGGGTACATTGGGTGGTTTTTTGCCTCACGTTGAAATGACAACAAATGACAACAAGCAAAGGAGTTGGATCCCAACTCTTTTCAACACAGAGTGTCGACATGTTGGAGATCTGAACATTTCGCCGTTGTGGAGACACCAAACACAAGAAACACACATCCAGGTGGCCAATGGAGCAGCTTTGGGGAGCTTTGCCACTCCGTTGAGATCGGTGCTCTTGGCTGTTCACGAGTGTTCCAGTCCTTCACTCCCCTTCACTCCTCAACCCAAAGTTCGATGAAACACATGGAAGAACAACATAGAACGACATGGAACACACACTCTGACAATTGTATTCCGTTACACTCAATTCCCAGGTCGAAAATGGTGAGGGAACGGCATGGCGAAAAGTCCAGGGAAGTGTAGGTGTTTTAACAAAATGGTTTTCGCACTTGACTGCGGAAAGCGCACAGTGGCAAACCGCCTGCAGGTCTGCGGTGGGAAATGGTTTGGGGGAAGGTATCATGAAGAACCATGGAAAACAAACCAAGCAGATTAGACAGCGTGGTCACAAGTTTCGGTTGCAGGTACACAGGGATGATCAGTCCCTGCATCCTGGTCATCTGCATAGAGCTTCGTTGGCGACAGCTATGCAGTGACCCTGTCGCCCCCTGCTCAAACAAGTTGAAATTGAGAGAAGAGGTGGAACCCTTAGATACAGGGGGTGACACACACAAACAGCCGATTCTGGCGCAAGTGTGTAGGACGTTGAAGGGGGAGCTTTGTACAGAAAGTGCCAATATTGGCGCTGCGAAAAACTAATAGCCACCTAAAGAGCCTTAGAAAGACAGACAAAGCAAACAAAACAAAAGCAGACTAAGAGGGCAAGAAAGAAAGATAGGGGTAGTTACGAGGCCCACTTAGTTAAATGAAAGTAGTGCGCGAGCGGGACATTTGTCTTAAACCGCCCGGGTAGCTAGCAATAGGCTAGGAGAAACAGAAGGAAAGGCACCAACACACAAGTGTGTTGAGTGCGATTTCCTTCTGTTTCCCGAGTAGCGGGTGGGGTAGCAAAGGAGGCCCAGGGGTAGGGAGGGGGAAAAAAAGAAAAATGCACGATTAATTTGTCCGGCCTGTGAATACTTAGCAGCACATGCACATGTGAATACTTAGCCGTCAAACATCTCAGGTCAGATTGCTTGAGTACATATGCAAGATCATGCGGAAAATGCAAAATCATGCAGAAAAATGCAAATGCTGCAAAACGGTCAGTTCCCGTGTTTAGGCCCGGCGGCCGTTGTGGCAGTTAATTCGGTGCATGTGGAGGTGACTTCCAGTGGAGTTCCTGTGAAAGGTGGTGAGGTCAGTTACTGCTTGCACGATGAGACAGCGCCCCAATGATGGGGATCACACTCAGCACCCGAGTGGGACGGCTGAGCGAAACACACTCTGACAGTTGTATTCCGTTACACTCAATTCCCAGGTCGAAAATGGTGAGGGAACGGCATGGCGAAAAGTCCAGGGAAGTGTAGGTGCTTTAACAAAATGGTTTTCGCACTTGACTGCGGAAAGCGCACAGTGGCAAAGCGGCTGCAGGTCTGCGGTGGGAAATGGTTTGGGGGAAGGTATCATGAAGAACCATGGAAAACAAACCAAGCAGATTAGACAGCGTGGTCAAAAGTTTCGGTTGCAGGTACACAGGGATGATCAGTCCCTGCATCCTGGTCATCTGCATAGAGCTTCGTTGGCGACAGCTATGCAGTGACCCTGTCGCTCCCTGCTCAAAAAAGTTGAAATTGAGAGAAGAGGTGGAACCCTTAGATACAGGGGGTGACACACACACACACAGCTCAAAACATCTCAAAACCGTTACGATACCCATAACAGCACGCCAGGTCCTGTTTGTCCCGATCAAACATCGAGCAGGACCATGTGCCGCAGGACTTCTTTGCACCCGGTCGCGTCCGCGTCTCCGTGTCCACGTCGTCCACCTCCGCTCCGCGTCGAGCGCGGAGCGCGGAACGACCGGAACCGCGGCCTCTTGAGAGCGGGGTCAAGGCCCGGGTCCCCCGGATCCCAGGGATGACCTCAGCGAGGAGCCCAGGCGACGCGGGCGGCTACGCGGCGTGAAGCGCTGAAAGGGAAATGGAGTGCTATAGGACACAGCTAAGCA